CACAATCTTTCAAATTACAAAGGTTAATAATAGAATGAGTTGTGAATTGTGGATTTACCAACTTTGTAGTCTATTTTTTTAAAAAAAATATTTTTTGTGATATCTTGCTCATTAAGTAATAGTATTTTTGTAAATATCACTAAAAGACAATGGGTATTTTTGTGTAGGTGTCTTTTAGAAATGATCGTTGTGGTTTGTAGCAGGTATCAATCTTAAACTATCAAATTAAGGCATACCTCCAAAGCTTATCGAAAGATGTAAATTTGATGTAAAAAATTTCAATGACAACTTAAAAATCTATTTCCCTTCTAATTATGAAATTAAGTAAAAACTGTTGTAGATCGAGTAGATTTATAAATAGATGAAAATCTTGAAAATGGATGGTCCAGATACTTTATTACAAGATAAATCATTTTTGGGACTTTAAAAAAAATAAATTGCAAATCTGTATATATTGAGGTCTAGATTATCCTTTAGAGGATTTTTCAACATGGGAACAACCTTTTTGATGGATATTTGAGGCATGCCTATTTATGCAGTGCAAAGGTGCAACTTATGTAAACTTTGAATAGTATGGGATATCCCAACTTAGCCCAAACAAGAACAAAATATACATGTAAGATTGGATGGAGATTGTATACATTTTTACATATCCAATATCCCTTGTTATGCTAATTGTTCTCTCTTGTTGGTCAAGAGGTCAATGTCACCTCTTTAATTCTCCCTCATTTGTTTACTACCACAAAGCTTATACAACTAAAATCCCTAACCTTCACGGATGGGCTGAGAGTTCTCAGTTTAGCTAGGAGAGGGATTTATTGCTAGGGTCTCTTGGAAGAGGGAGGGGAGAGAGAGAGAGAGGTCTACTCTCTCTTTTCTAAAAAGAAAAATAGAAAGGACTTTTATTAGGTACTTGCATCAATCTTCTCTATCTACACCCTTCCCTTTTCTTTTTCTTTTTTTTCTTTTATTTTTTTCTTTTACTTCTAACGTACTACCTCTACTACTTCCTCTCTGTGTCGTACTCCTAACGTAAGTAGTAACTCACGCTAATAGTT